TTTTTCCAGCTTTACTGTAATAATAATGAAATATTGTTTTCTGAAATCTACTCAACATCAAAAAAGGAACTAAACATAAACTCTAGTAATTTTGATCCTAAAATAACCGATTTGCCGATATTAATACATTTGCATAACTCAAATACTGAAAAGGTAATAAATTCAAATAAAATCATCAGAAATATTTTTATTCATTTTAAATTGTGGTCATGTCAATAGTATGGTTCCTATAATTTTCGAGTTCAATACGTTGATATAAATCATAGTCGAATAATGTCTCCAGTTTGTCTTCATCCAACAAAAATGCCTTGTCAATTGTACTGCCCAAGTCCAATGATTATGGAATTRGCAGCAACGCCAAAATCTCAAAAAATGATAATTTCTATGCCCGAATTTTGGGAATTTTTTTCGTTATTGTGTATATTTTGGATCAGYCAATCTGGTATATGGGCTATACAAGATCCCATCTGTTTTGATATCTTAGGTAAGTATTTGCGATTCAACTTAATGAATCGAACCTTATAGTACATTTACTGTGTTTTTCTGTCTGTTTTTAGAAGACAAACCTAATGATTTTGGGAAGCAAAGATGCTGGACGTCCATTGGATGGGGATCTGTTACAATGCTTAGCGGTTGGCTTGTGGACTATTTTAGTTACGACAAAATGGAAAAAGACTACACACCCATATCATATTTAATATTTTCGTTTATGATTTTGAATTTATTGGTTGCTTCCAATATCCCAGTACGGTATACATTTGTTTGATAGTATTATAAGTTGAGGTTAATAGTAATTATTGTTCCTATACCTAGGTCGTCGAGTTCAAAGTATCACAAAATACGTTCCAAAATGTTTTTAAATTATTTTCAAAAATCCATGTTATAAGTTTTTTTGTTTGGATCCTATTGCTTGGAGTGTACAGCTCAATGACGATGAGTTACCTTTTTTGGTAGGTCGAATCTGATATTACCACATGCTGAACACTTCTGCAGCATAAAAYGGAAGATTAAATAAATTGAGCTCATGTTGTAGATGTAGTAAAAAGATTATAGTAAATTGCAACCGGCATTTTTGATTTATGCTTTGAGAATAGCAACGTGTACTCATACTGCAATATAAAGTATTTATGTACTCGTAAATAAAATGATTGAGCTTAACAAACAATTAAAAAATAGTATGGGCGAATCTTGTAAATTTCAGAACACGATTTGTAGAAAGATATGCCAACCCGTAGAAAAAATCATTGATTATTATACAAACAAAAATGATATAAATAGTGTTCATCGGTATTTAAATATTATACCATCCAATCAGTATAGAAGTAATGTACAAAATTTGAAAATAATTAAATATTATACATGTTATGATAGGTAACGAAAAAAAAAATTWATTAATGCCTTCAATTTAATGTGTATTACATTTTAAACATAGATATATTGTACTTATAATTTTTCATCTAAATCAAACTAGAAATTGATTCTGTAAAATAGAGTTTACAAATTATTAAAATCACGAGAGCTTATAATCACCATAAAAAAACTGGGTACAATGCATACAAAAATACATAGGTACCTTCAATGTATTGTGCGCAATATATAATAATTATTATTGTTCCGCTTTGCTTGGCATTATGTGTGACGTATATTTAAAAAATTACCGTACRACGAATATAATAATATATACCTTCACTTGCAGGTACTTAGAAGACTTGGCTTCGGAATATCAATGTCACCAAGTAGCGTGGATAAAAACGCTACAGGGTTTTTCTCAGGGCCTCCAGAGTTTCGGTGGTGAAATGCCAATTTTCTTCTGTTCCGGTTGGATAATCAAACGCATAGGACATAAACACTGTATGTCACTGGTTTTGTTCGCATTTACTGTTAGATTTTTTTTCTATTCCATCATGACGAATCCCATTTGGATGCTGTTAATCGAAATCCTAAACGGCATGGCATACGCATTGGGTCGTGCAGTGATGGTATCATACTCAAGAAGGATCTCGCCATCAAGTGCGCACCACACAGTTTTAGGACTTGTAGGACTTTTCGATTGCATCGGTAAGCACATATAATTCGTTAAAATTATAAATATTTTTATAATTTTAGTATCGTAAGCCACGCAGCTTGATAACTTAAAAGTTTCGATATTTTATTTGATTAAATACTAAATATATTTACTTAGTTATCGATGGTCACCAATTTAGAATTTASCTACATTTTGTCGAGAATTGCTATTTAATGGTACCTAGTGAGTATACCTAACCCACTGCTTTTTTAAATTTGGAATCCCATAAAAGCCGTAATCCTGTAACCTAACAAGATTGGGGATAAGTACAATAATAGACAACAATAATTGATCTATTTGCATAATTAGTTTATAATAAATATCATATTTATAAATTCTATTATACAATTTGACAAAATAACGAGCACTTTCAAATTATTTCTTGGTTAAATTTTCAATTTTAATAGCTAGGGCTTGAAAATTATATACAAGACTACTCACAAGTTTTTTCCATAGAAATTATAAATTTTATTTTGTTTTACTCAATATTATATCTCTTATAGGTTTATCATTTGGTGGTGTAATTGCTTCATATATATACGACTTTTACGGAGGATTTTGGTTATTCAGACTATTTACATACGGCTCAGCTGTGATGTGTGTCTTACAAATTGTATWCAACTTGTTGACTAAGTCCAATGAAAAGACTATAGATCATTAAAACTTTTACTTATTTTTATTTTTAAAAACTGTTCTATTATTAGAACCGTTTGAATAAGGTATATTTTTTACTGTACAGAATCCATTTAAAGGCTCTATATTTTACATTTCTTATATATAAGTTTAATAAAGTTGATTTTTTGTCTATAATAATATATGATGCAGTATATAATATTAATTAGGTATTATTTTAAGTATGATTTATATTAAAAATTACATTAATTTTTATCATAGTATTTAATAATAATGAGAAATAATTTTATTTCACTTTTTTAATTTCATTTGAAATTTTTTACTACACATTTATTAGACTTGGTGCCATTCTTACAATGTCCGATTAAAGTTAACGGACAATTAACCGGCGAAATTTTATCGTTAAAAATCCCACTAACTATCGGTAACCGTTAACGAACACTTAATCGGAAATTGTAAGAACCGGCCTAAAATGTGTAAATATRGTTGGTTATATTTTTTTGAAATAATTTCTGGTAGAAAATATACCTATTTTTGAAAGTTACAAATAGAAATAAAAACCATACACATAGAAATAGGAAAAAAGACRAGCAAGAGTAAATCACTATCTGCCTATGAAGATTGATTAGTGAWCACGATTAACTAATCAACAGTGATTAAATTAACTCTTAGCAAATCTTATTTTTTTAATGCTTACCTTTAGTTATAGGGTTGTATACTTTAAACATAGAAATTAGAGATTATTAAGCTCTTATACGTCAGTATTCTTCACCTGTCTGTCCTTTCTGAAAATGGAAAATTTATGATTTTTCATAGAAAATTATATTATGACGATTTTACTTCCTATGATATTTTTAATTTTACTTAATATGTTTATCAAAAAACAGATAAAAGAAATCTAATTTTTAAAAGAATGAAATGAAAGAATTTGCATTTTTATAATACTTAGTAATATTAATTTTTTATTTTAATAAAAAAAAATTTCAGTGATAAGATAATATCGATAATTAGATAATATTGAATTAAATTAATATACGATCTTAATAACTATACTAGGCATATTAAAAATCTCTACAGTCAGTTTAATACTTTAATATAATGACTAATGAGCTCCAAATAATTGAGGTACGTTTTGCATAGTTGTCAAAATGTAGCTTTTGTCATATTGTGTAAATTAAACTTTAAATTTAGAATTTAGTATGATGTCGACAATGATGTATGATATGATTTAAGTCTAAAAGTAATTTTTAGTAATAGTATAATAATATGTTTAATGTTTGTTATAATACTGTAAATAWACATAATATATAAATGTTTGTTATGGGCAAATGAAAATTGTACAAAATATGTGTTTTCTGACTACAATTTTTTTTTATTTTAATGATAATTGCTCACTTGTACTTAGAACTGAGATCAAATTAAAAAAAAGTGAAAATTCCACATTCCAAAAAAATTATTTTCAAGGTATGTTTCGTAGATGGCATTTGATATTTGATTTTTTGTGTAACATTACGATTTTGAAGCAAAAAAATGAATAGTGAGGAGCACGTCTTATATTGATATATTATGACGCTATAATATTATTATAGTGTAAATATTAAACGGTCACAACTAAAACAGTCATATTATGAAAACTATCTGCAGTATATATCTATCTAACGTCAATATTTGRACTTCTACTTCAAAGATAAGATTTTAAAGGGTATGAATTTCGAATATGGTTTCAAATTGTTTTGATTT